CAGCAGCCACCCTCCCAGCCTCCCCATCTTTGGGGTGAGGGGTGCAGAGTCTCGGGGCCCTGGGGGTCTGGGAAGGCAAGAAGAGGGGCTGGCCGGGAGGGAGGGGTGCTGGGGCCCAAGATGGCTCTGTCTTCCTCCTCCTCTTCCTCCTCCTCCTCCTATTTGCTCTGAGGCAGAGCTGGCTGCAGTGAGAAGCCGCTGGCTGTGATGGGTTTTTTTTTAACCACTTGATCATGATCGAGGATTTAATTTTATCCCCTTTCCTGACTGGCTGTGATTCTATTTGGAGTTTAAGCACGAGGCAAGCAGGAGGGTCCCTGGAAAACAAGACTTCCACCCCCCTACCCCCAGGCTCTGCTGAGGTCCCTCCCTGCCTGTTCAGCCGTGACAGAGTCCACCCTGAGGGGGCACCCTCCTCAGCTGGCAGGTTTTGGGGAAGGCGGAGGGGCTGTGCTCCAGTGAGCACCCGGCCCCTAGGCAAAGCAGCTCAGCAGAGGGAGAGGCTCAGGGCAGGGGCTGTGGAGCTGGAGGCAGCTCTGGCCTTGGCTTCTACAAAGGGATCATCTGGGCTCCTTCATTCTCATCAAAGAAGCGTTTCCTAAGCGCCCCGCGGGACCTGGAGCTGTGCTCCTCCCCACGCCAAAGGCTGCAGACAAGTCCTCGCTCTGTGTGACTTTTGAGTTGAGAGGATGGGGTGGAGGGACACCCGCTATGGTGACTTAACAATAACCCTATGTCCTGACCCCCCACTGGTCGCAGGTCACTTTGCTAAGCGTGTCATATGCATTATCTCCTTAGTTGTCACCAACAGCCTATGGCCCTGATGCTCTTATGTTTTCCATTTTTTTTCAATAAGGTTCATCATTCACGCCAAGTCACACAGTTGCCAAGTGACAGATTGAGTCCTGCCTCCAGTCGGCCTCCACAGTTCCCACTCTAAACCATGATGTCTCCCCAGCCCCCAGCTATGTGGATATAAAGATTTATGCTGTGGGGGCAAACAGTCTAAACCTCGAAGATTTAAAGTGGAAGAGGAGAGGACTTCTGGCACCAGCTTAAGCTTGGAGGTGAAGTGCCTCGCGCTCGCCCTATGGAGGCTTCAGAGAGGCCAGGAGCTTCGGGTGCCTAGGAACATACACGCTCGCCGGGCTGAGCATGCATTCACC